CATAAGAGAAGCTCGGTCACCTCGGACACTAAACTTCCTTCTTCATCCAGCACCGCAATCTTTCCCACCTGCGGGGTTTGCGGGATGAGAACGAGCAGACGCAGGAGGACAAAAGTGGCGCAGAGAGTGGTGGGAGAGAGAAGTATGAGGAGGCTGGGGAGGGGGGGAGAAGGGAGAGGAGGAAGGGACGGAGGGGGAGGGGGAGGGGGGGGAGAGAGAGGGAGAGGGGGAGAGGGGGAGAGGGAGAGGGAGAGGGAGAGGGAGGGAGAGAGGGTGAGGATAAGCAGGGCAAGAAGGCTCTTTCCTACCGTCTGCGAATCTCGCTCTGAAGTGACAGCCCTGGCCCAATCGAACCTGCCAGTCACTCCCTCAGAGTTTCTAGCAACCAGCAGCTCCTCCTGCCCCCTCCTCCTCCTCTCTACCCCTCCTGCCTCCTGCCTCCTGCCTCCTGCCTCCTCCTCTTTACCCCTCCTGCCTCCTGCCTCCTGCCGCCCCCTCTTTACCCCTCCTGCCTCCTGCCCCCTCCCTCCTCCTCTTTACCCCTCCTGCCTCTTGCCTCCTGCCTTCTCCCTCCTTCTCCCTTCTCCCTGCTCCCTCCTGCCTCCTCCATCACGACGCCCACCTGCAGACGTAGAGGTTCGACTTCGAGTCGCACGCCAGGCTCGTAGGCCCGAACCCCCCGCTGAACGTGTGGAACACGCTGCACATGTAGACCCCCGTCGGCCTTCGGATGAACCTGCGCCCCTCCCATTACCAGCTCCTCTCTGCCTCCTCCCCCCGTTCCCATTTCGTTTTTCCCGCTCATCCCGTCACTTAGATCCTCTCGCCCTCCTCCCGTCTCTCACCTCCTCCTCCTCCCTCCTCCCGTCTCTCACCTCCTCCTCCTCCTTCCTCCCCTCTCTCATCTCTTCCCTCCCCCCCCCCCACCTCAGGATTCTGTTCGCCATGGTCTCAGCCACGTAGACGCAGCTTCCGTCGGGGCTAACGGCGATCCCTGCTCCATCCTCCCCGTCAGTCGCCGTCCAGGGCCCGGCCGTCCAGGGCCCGGCGCGACCGGAGACTGACACTGACCGGAGGGGTGGGCAAGGCAGTTGACCGCCAGAGGCTTCAGCAGCTGGTCCTCCGAGCTAACGCAGAACACGCTCCCCTGAGGAGAAGAGCATAAGCGTGCGGCTACAGCACTTGTCCCAGCACCTTGGGGTTGGAGAGGCTGGTGTCCCCCATGGGCCCGCTATCAGTGAAGAAGAGCGTTCCGTTGCTGCAGTCAGGTTGAGCAGCGCTTCTGCTACAGGACGTGCCTTGACACTGACCTGTCAAAACAAAGGCTGTTGGGCCCGAAGAACTGCTGGCCCTCGTAATCAGACACCAGGACCTGGTTCACGTTTCAGTCCAGCAGTGGAAGCACAGTCCTCGCTGACTTGGAACTCAGAGTCTTCGGGAGGATGGGACAAAATGCACTTCAAGGCGATGTCTCCCACGAAGATAGCTCTGCCATCCATCCCTCACATGCAGCGCAATACAGGTAATGCTCTACCCAACTTCGTCGAACGCCAGGGAGCTCGGGACCCCTCCTGTCGGGATTTTCTGCACGATCTGAGCACTTCCGTCACCCTGGTCGACAAGCTTGACGATCTCTCCCGTTCCCGAAGATGCCTGAGAGCGCGCTCCTTCACTCGCCAGCAGGAGAATGTAGAGCAGGGGTGCAGCAGGGGTAGGAGGTAAGAGCAGATATAGCTTCACTCACCACATAGATGGCAACTTTGTCCTTGGCGTTGATGTCTCTTGCTAAGCCACTCCAGCTACTCTCCTGCATGAAGACACTCATGAAGGAAGTGGAGGAGGTACCGACATGCTCACCCCCTCAGCAAAAATCTGCCACTTGGAGTTTTCGAATTCCTGGAAGATCGAGTCAGGGTACCGTCAGACCGCGCTGTGATGGCAGGTGAGGAGAGATGGGAGAGGCGGAGGGAGGACGGAGGACGGAGGACGGAGGACGGAGGACGGAGGACGGAGGACGGAAGGACGGAGGGACGGAGGGACGGAGGAAGGAGGACGGAGGATGGAGGATGGAGGGAAGACCGAGGACGGAGGACGGAGGAGGGAGGGAGCACGGAGGAGGGAGGACGGAGGACGGAGGACGGAGGATGGAGGACGGAGGACGGAGGAGGGGGGAGGGAGGAGGGAGGGAGAGCGCCGTCAAGTCTGATCCTCTGCCATATTCAGCCAGCGACTCATCGGTCGTCCTTGGGGCATGCCTCACCATCGTCGGCAGTTGATGGCAGGAAATGAGCGGGGATGAGGGCTTCAATCAAGAGCGGTGAGTGGGGACGAGGGCTTGTCAAAGTTAGGGCGCAATGGGCAGTGAGAAAGGGGATGGAGGAGGAGGTAACGATGAGACGGAGGCAGAGGAGGATCGGAACATGAGCGCAACAATGAGCCATGAAGTGAGGAGGGAGGGAGGGGGACGAGCTGTAGGGGTTCCGTGACTCAGCAAGGAGGGAATATGTCCTGACGAAAGGTGCAGGCAAACAGCAGCAAACTTGAGACTGGGCGGATCGAAGGAAGAGGAGGGAAAACGACGTGAATGTCGAGACGGAAGTCATATGGAAACATAAACACAAGTACGATAAGGTAAGCGGAAGTACCAAACATGGGTGCTGCATCGTCCACACGATCGGTGAATATGATTGAACCGAAGCCCTGGAGGCCGAAAGGAACGAAGGAGGAAGAGCGGAAAAGTATGATGGAGTGCTTCCTGTGTTTGTCCAGCTGACGCTTTGGGTTCAGGAAAGGAAGATTTTGCCAGGCAAAGACGTCTTCACTATGCAGGAGAAGCTGCGGTAATCTCATACCTCTCATTTGTTACTTCGCCCTTGATCGCGTGCTCAGTCGGCTGGGAAGGGTATCCACACACATCACACGAGTAGCAGTCATCATCATCATAGCATGGCCTATGAAGATGGAAGAGACGAGGCATGAGCCCGCCTCGTAGACATGAGCCCGCCATGACTTGCTCGAGCATGCCCATCCTCTCGCAGACTAGCAGCTCCGCATACGTTGGCTCACTGCGTGTACACTAGGAGCGGAACGACTTTATTCTGAAATGTTATGAAAACCGAACCCACTCACGTAGATCGATGTCTCGGGCCTTGCCTTCTGTCCTCCAAGGATCAATCGACGACAAACTCAGCATGAGACGCTCACCTTCGGAAGTACCCTCACCCCCCCCCCTCCCGCGGTGCTAACGTCCATCCAACCGAGGCCCCCGACGTAGACTCGATGTTTTCTCCTTGAGACATCATCGCGTCAGACGCTCTCAAGGCCGCGCGCTCCCCGTCACCTCCCATGAGCTGATGCTTCATCGGGGGCAATCCACCAGCTGCAGAGGGTCAGCGGGAGGGAGGAGCGGCAGGGGAGGACTTCGACGACCTGTCGTCCACCAGGAGATCTTTTGTCTTCCTGAGGAGGCTGCGAGCACGATCAAGAACACGGGTACATGTATGCACTGCATGCTCCACCTGTAGAAATTGTCTTCACTGTCTTGACCTGCGCTCATCCTCTGCTCCTCCCTGTGGGGAAGCAAAAGATCTCAATCACATGGCACAGCCCAGCAGGCGAGCATCAAGGGGTCCTACTTCATCTGACTCTTCTGCAGGTACCCCAGAAACTTGACCTCCTCGTCGCTGTTGGACTCCATAAGGTCCAACTTCGATCACAGGGGAGGGGTTTACCTGAAGTCCGGATGCCAAACGTCGAAGATCAAAACCTGAATGGATTACAATTTCATGGAAACGATGACAGCAGGGGAAGCGAATGGAGTACAATCCTCGTTGAGGTTCCATCATGCCTGGAGTGGAACGATGAGGAAGGAAGTGGTCCATGAAGAGCTCACCAGGCCTCGTGCTCGAACGAGTCGTCAAAGACGTAACAAACACCTTCTTCTTGCTCGCGAACCTGTTTGTCGTGCAACATCGCATCAACATCATAACTTCTTCAAGACAGTGAAGCCTTACCTCATCAGCCACTCGCAGCCGACTACCCTCGACCCCCGTGACAGGGAGATGACATCGGAGCTTCTTGTTGGTCGGCTGGTGAAAGCATCAGATGGCAGCTTGAGAATTGATTGCTCTCACCCCAGTGTGAGCTATGACATGAGTCCCAGGGTTCAGAGCCGAGAAGAAGGCATGCTTGTACTGTCTGTCAACGTGAAACTTTCACCGCCGGCTCCCACAGAGCATTTGAGCGGGACAGCATCACCTGGGAGCGATTCTCTCGATCAATTCCACAGTCTTAGGGCATTTTGCACAGTTTTCCTCGAATCTGAGCGGGCAGCTTATGGGGAGGAAAGGCGGCAAGGAGCGACGCTATCACTTCTCGTTGTGCAGGAAGAGGTAGAAAACATTCCAGTCCCCCTTGTCATGGCTCACTGCTCCAACCTGAGGGTAGTGGGTCAACAGGGCTCAAGGTCTATCGCTCCTATCGCACGTCATCCGACGCGAGTTTCGTGCTCCACTTGGGCTGCGGGATTGTGAGGCGAAGTAAAGGGTCAACTGGCCTCAGTCAACCTGCCGGAATGGCTGGAAGCCTTTCTTGCCCCTCAGATTCAACAGCTCCTTTGTCGCTCAAGATCAGAAACAAGAGCAAGACGAGGATGCGAAAGCACAGCAGAAGGACGAAGAACAGGAGAGCAGGAGAGCAGGAGGGCAGGAGAGCAGGAGAGCAGGAGAGCAGGAGAGCAGGAGAGCAGGAGAGCAGGAGAGCAGGGGAGCAGGGGAGCAGGAGAGCAAAGATCAGGGCAGACCTCTTTCACGTCCTCGAAGTGATCCTCAATCTCTCGCACCCATCCCATCTCAGGCATGCCTCGATCCCAAAAGGGAAGCGCACGGAGGCCGGGAACGAGGTCGGGGCAGCCTTTCTGCCACCTGGAAGCTGGAGGGGCGCGATGCTTGTTGTTGATCCTGAGGAGTAGCCAGTCTCGGATCCGCGTCAAGTTCGTCTTGCTCGGGTCTGCCATGAGCTTCACCCACTTCTTCGCTGCCGCCATGGCGAAGGGGGACAAGTGAAATTCCTCGAACACTTTCTCCACTTTCTGCCTGGAGGCAGCATGAGGGACTTACGGGAACACCGGGCGTTCTCACCAGAGCTGGGAATACTCCTCCGTCTCCTCCTCATCGCTAGAGTCACTCCTGTCGTCCTCGGTCTTGCGCTCCATCCTGCATATCAAGCGTGAACGATCGTATCCAAAACAATGAGTCAGAAATGAAAGAACCCCCCTGCTCCTTCTATGCCACCAGACCTTCATCCTCCACCCCACTTCCATCCTCCTCCTCCTGCTCCTGCTCCTCCTCCTCCTGCTCCTCCTGCTTCTCCTCCTCCTGCTTCTCCTCCTCCTCCTCCTCCTCCTCCTCCTCCTCCTCCTCCTCCTCCTCCTCCTCCTCCTCCTTCCTTGCTCGTCTTCACTGCCCCCTCTCCTTCTCGCCTTCCTCTATCCCTATGCTCGAACGTCCCTACCCTCCTCTTCCCAACGAGCCCCCACTGCGCCTGGTCAGCAAATGAAATATGAAACCCAGTTCCCGCCTTTACGCAAGGTTTGTGGCTGCGCGCAATGCAAATCCCGCGACGCAGGGCTGAGGAGGAAGACGAGACAGGAGGGAAGCGGAGGACCCTGGAGCAGGGACAAGAGCCGAACTAGCTCTCAAGTATGCTCCTGTGGTAGTTCAATGATTCCCATACATCGCCTCATGGCGGCATGAAAGTACGGATCTACCTCGACGCCTCAACTATTGTTGTTCCGACTTCCTCTGGAGGAGCCGCACAGCGGTCACGAGGAAGATCATGTCTTGGACATCGCAGATTTCGATGTGTATCATGGTTGCTCTGCCAGCGGACAGGGTGAGAGGACCAAGAGTTGGATTGACTCTGAAGACGGGAGAAGATATCCTGCGGTTGTGAATGTTTGGTAGGAGGGGATGGCACGAGTGGCATGCTTCTTCCTGTTCGGTTCCTCCTGCTCCCTTCGAGGCTTTCTCATGCAAGAGACGGCTCCTCGCTGCAGAAAGATACAAGGCTATTGAATTGCGTTAGTGATTGAAATTGGGAACACACGTGAGGAAGGTATCAACCGTGATGGCTATGCAGTGAGATGACAAAGACGTGTATGATTGAAATGCAGAAAGACAAGAAATGAGATGAAAACAAGTCGCACATTTATTTCAATTCTTTCTACATACAGCATATTGTCACTCAGAGCCCAGCTACTTTGCGAATCGCACAATAGAAAATATTCCAAATATGATCTCCAATCCCACGAAAGCGAATGAGATGGAGTTGAAGATCAAGTCCAAGCGAAGACTAGAAATCGATCAGCAAAAGATTGAAATGATGCCGTCATGAGAACTCTTACACATAGGTTTGAAAATTGATGTAGAATACATTTGCCAGCGCGCTGAAGCAGGACAAGATCTGCAGTGAAAGCGATCATCTTCACGCAAGGATGTACAAGTATCATCGTGTCTCCTTACAATGAGCATGAGTATCATTGGCCAATTCTCAGTCTTGTTCCCCTTTGACCCTGTCAACACATTCAGAGAGAGATCCAGTAATATGTCAGACAAAACTTACCTATGAAAAGTCTACATGCCTAGGGAGCAAAACGTTACAACCGTCAACGATAGTATTGAGACAACTAAGATACCTCAACCACTATGTAGACAAACAAAAGAATGATCTCCTGCCATTCAATATTACCCATCTTTGAAGGCTGTGGCACCTGTTTCACTTACCCATGGAAGTCTCCCAGCAGGGTATGGAAACTCCACTCCTTTCCAGATCAGCAGTGCTAGTGTCACCAGGAAGAATCTGAGCAAGGGTCACTTTCAAACAGTTCGAGTCACAAGGTCTTCACAAGGTCGAGTAGCAACCGTTGAAGAAGATCAAAATCTGGATAGCATGTCAGCCGCTCGAACGTTCAATGTCATGAAAGAGACTCATACTTGAAGAGGTAACGATGACTTGGACAAGAAATCTACTTTGTCTCTGTTGTCACTTCCCATCTTTATAGGAGGAGGCTACGTGTTTGCCCCAAGAGCTTGGGCGATTTGTCCAGACCACGCTGCAGAAAATTCCAAAGATGATCAGAGATGGTGAAGCATTCAGCTCAAAATTGAGGAACCATATCAAACATTATGTTTGGCAACATTCCTTCTAAGATGACAATGCATCTTGAAAAAGGACCTCCAAAAATGGGTACATTTGAATTATCATCTATCGAACGACCAACGATCCTGATTCAAATCATACACCAGGGCGAAAAAGAACAGAAAACGAAGCAAAGATGGAAGAAACGAGTGCCTCTCCTACATTTTCATCCTAGCATGAATACATCGCAAATGTCTCCAGCATATTCCCCTCCCCCCCTCTCCTCCTCCTCCTCCTCAACGCCTTCTGGCGGGCCCCGCCATGCTACGGGCCACGATCGAAACCTCATCCCCGCTCATGTTTTTACAAGCCCGCCTCAATCTTTTTGATGAGGCAGTAATGAACGCGAGACTGTTCAGGTCCGCCTCATTGAAAGGAGATGCGTCATGCCTGGATGCCGCAGCCTTCGATGCCCGGGGTAGCGGCAGAGGAAGAGGAAGAGAAGTACATGAGAAGAGGATGGTAGAGGGAGAGGATCAGACGAGAACCCGTCGCGTGATAGAGTTCGAGAACAAGGAGTAAGAGAAGACAGAGAGGAAGCAGAGAGCAGAACGAGTACGGGATCAGGTTCTGAACGAGGAGAAAGCGACCCACGAGTATTGCTGTACCTGTCTGATTATCAAACGAGATGAAGGGGACAGCAGAGAAAGCTCCGCTTCTTGGGCAGCAAAGTGCAGGGAAGAAATTTAACAGCATTAAGCCTTCGCAAATGTTGCGAAGACTCATCGCACGTCTGCCTACCAGCGTGCTGTGTCTCGCCCTGGGTATCTGCGGTCTCGGCATTACATGGCAGACAGCTGCCGAATACCTTATAGCTGCTCAGTTCATCAAGGATACTGCAGATGTAAGTGCGATTTTTCAGTAGCTCTTGCTTCTATGCTGACAATATGCGAACAGGTTTTCTCTCTCATTTCTTTCAACATCGGAGTTTCAATTCTTCTCTTGTACAGCATGAAATTGATCCTTTTTCCTAGCCTTGTGCTTGAAGACATGCTGAGTACTCAAGGGAATGCAGAGCTGCCATGCCTGGACATGGCAATGATGATGATTGCCTGGTGGCTCCGGATTCACGGTTACCATTCCTTGGGGAGAGTGATCTGGAGCGTTGCTGTCCTTCTTCATTGCTTGTTTCTTGTAGCCTTTCTGCGACATGTCAAATTTCAGGACATCTCTTCGGTGCGTTCATCCCGTGAATATCTAGGGAACAGGCCCACCTGATTCTGTTGGCAGATGACCCCCAACTGGCTGATTCCTTTCGTTGGCCTATCCATGGCAGCGGGAACAGGGGCCTCCTTGGACCTCGGAGAATGGACGGAATACTTCTTCTGGATCGCGTTCTTGTCCTTCTTGATTCTTTTCCCTGTGATGCTGTACAGACTGCATGCTTATCCCGAGGGCAGCCGTGCAGAAGCGCAATACCCTTACATTGCATTTCCAGCAGCCCTGCTGTTGACGTCTTGGATTGCTATGGGCGGCCATCAAGGGCATGTCTTGACGCATTTCCTATTTCTTGTTCAGATGTGCAGCATAGTTCTCGTCTCCCTTCGGATTTCCAACATGTTCTCGATGAATTTCGAAAATGACTTCTCAAGTCTTGCATTTCCTTCGGACATCAGCGCCAAGTGCTCGGTCAGTTCAATTCTGATGCTTTTCTTTGTCTTTTCGTTGATCAAATTTGTATATCTTCTTTCAGAGGATCACTCTCTCAAGTCTCTTGCTGATGAGTGTTGCAGATTCTTTACACTCATTTGTACATGGCCGAAAGCGGGGTGATGGTGATGTGCTCATGGATATTCGTCTTCCTTGGTAAATTACCGAGAATATTTTCTTTGCTTGACCCTTTTGTCAATCAGCTTCATTGTCGGTGGCATATCTCTGTTTCAAGTTTGGATCTATTGCTTTGGGATCAATCATAGACGAGAGCAACTCGAGTATCATCGACCGTCTCAAAGAAAGCCAAAATGTTGATGATTCCAAGGAGTCAGACTTGTAGAATCATTGTTTTTAGTAATACACCAACTCAGCTATATCTCCTGCTTTACAAGTACTTGCAACGGGTTCAGGAGCGCTGGGCAATTCAGCGGTTTTGAAGAACGGACATGTAACCGACCACGATGTAACATTTTGTGCCTCAGCATACAATATCGTGGTAGGATGCAACGGGGAGTGATTCAAGGCGCGCTTTATTGCCATTCATCTGCGATCTGGAAAAGTGCTACAGTTCAGTCACAAAGTTGGAAATCTAGTAGCTTCCGTGAAATCTCTCCATTGTCACATCTTCAGCCCTCATACGAGCTGTCTGGTTCTCCTGCATGTAGGTATGATCCTTGGGCGAGAAGTTCCTGTAGAAGCATCAGATCTATCGGAAGGTAAGAGCAGTGAGTAACCTTGCAACGAATGTTGGCAAGTGGTGCAGAATTCGCCTGGAGCATAAGATCATCAGAATTCCTATCAGAGGTTTGGTTTGCGAAAATCATCCTCAAGTTTGAGGAAAGATAGCAGAGACTGCAAGCTCCTTGTAACATTCTGAACACGCTCGCATGGATACCACTAAACGTACAGGTACCCAAAATTACTATTCAAAGCCTTCAATCAACTTCTTCCTTCTCCAATCACCCTATCCTTCAGCTCACAGGACTGTAGAGAGGTTTTACGTTGCTACATAATTCTCACATCTCCCATCCAAAACGGTCCTCCTCCTCCCCAGCGCTACCAATCGTAAATCCAACTCACCTCTCTTCAGCTTGAGCAGCGACCTTGGTGAGACAGGCTCTGAGCTTTTGCTCCCTATCTTCAGGATGAATCATGTATGATCTGATCATCGTCGTCAGCCAGTGATCCGCCTTCACATTTGGCCGCGAGTCCGCCAGCGTGTCGTATTTGTTGCTCTCCATCAATTTCGCCATCCGCGCGTCCACCCCTCTAACCCGGATACCCCTTGCCTTTGGCTACTACCACTGCAAATCTACAGTTCAACTCACCCACCCTACTTCTGGACAAATTTCCATGGGTACATACCCCTTTAAAATTAAGCAACGTAGTACCCATGTCGGTACCTACCCCTCGCAGACGATTCATTCAATACCCCCACCCTTCCTTGAAACCGCCTCTATACCCCTTCTTGCCCCTTGGAATACACCGGTGCAGTAAGCACAGTCTTGAACCCTTCAACGATCTGTAACGGTCACAACAAGACGGTTATTTAGCGTTATATCCAAATGGAGGATGATGGAGTTCAGGAGCAGGTTTGGGAGTAGCTTGAGGAAGTGGAGGAAGAGGCAGAGGCGCAGGAGGAGGTGCAGGAGGCGGAGGCGGAGTATGATGAAGAGCCGAGGGAGAAGGAGATGTAGGAGACGATGGCCGTAATTGAAGTTAGAGGCAAAGTCTTTGCTGGAAACAGCATGGTTGAAGGATGGTCGTTTCAAAAATACAGTTTCATTCCGCTCATTCGGAATATGGGCCCTAACGATAGATTTCGTACCCAATCTTGAAAACTCTGACAAAAGGATGTGACGCATACTTTTATAACACCATGAGAATCACCCCCAGGCATAAGTGCATCTCTTTTTCACTCGAGGGATTCATTTCATTGCTGCTGTAAAACTAGTTCACGTTCTGATCCCGAACCAAACAGATGTTCTACTCGAAGACAGCTCTCTTCGAACTAGCTCTCGCGTACCTTCTTGTCATGGTATGGGTTCGCACGCTTCATTCCTACCGGATGACTATTTCCCCAGGTCTGCCCGAGCAGCTGCTGGATTTCCTCACTGGTACTATTTGTGACCTCGAAATAGTAGGACTTGACACTGCTGCAAGAAGATGACTCCTGCGCGATCATGTCAGGACCTCACCCGATACTGCGAAGCAAGGTCTCTGCTCTGCTTGCCTGAGAGGCCTTATGACCGTACACAGGTGCCGACTGAAGCTAAGATTGTCCACCAAGGGTCACTCCGACTCGAGCATCCTGCCCGCTCAGCATACGGAGGCGATCCATTCGAAGCTGACCTTCATCATCGACAGAGCATTTCCAGTCTTCAGGTGTTTGCATTGCAGCGTGCTTTTGGAAGTTCAACCGAGATGCTTTACAGAGTTCCGCTCGAGATTTTTAGGAAATTTGTGGTGACCACAATTCTTATCGTTTCCACCTGTCTCTGGCCAGGAAAGGTCTTCAGGGTAGATCGCACCTCTCTGACGCTGTTCTTTGAAGCAGTCACCCTTGAGAATCCTCCTTCAACTCAACTAGAATATTTGAGAACAAGATCTCTTGCTGTCGCCGCTGTCTCGACGGTTTTCCGAGTACCCTATGCTAGTTGCTCAAAGTTGATGCGACGCTTCAGGAAGAATCTCGTATCGTTGCCGAGGCATGGAAGATTTTAGATAAAGCCTTTGTTGACAAAACGTTCAATGGAAATGTAAGAACTTGAGAATTAGGGAATGTGTTTTCCTGATACTGTTACTATTTGGAATTTTCGACATACAGGACTGGACCGAGGTTCGAAAGAAATATGTTCGAACGAATTACAAGAACACAGCGGAAGCCTATGCCGCCATTCGTGAGATGACGGGTTTATTAGGAGACAGGTGAAGCTGAGACTTGTTCTTATGGTCTATTTATCTTCCAACAGGTTTACCCGATTCCTCACGCCGGCACAATACGAGACTTTAAGCAAGTATGTTCAGTCAGTGCGATCATGTCAACTTTGTATTCAAAGCTTCGCCTGGCAGTATGTACACGAGCGAGACACCACAGGCAGGGGTTGGAGTAGAAATGGCATTGGATCCTGAGAGCAATCAGATCAAGGTAAAACTGGAAACTGATTCGTGTCTGCAAGTTGATGACGTTGGTTCCAGATTGTTTCAGTAGTGCCATCATCTCCTGCTGAAAAAGTGGGAGTGAAAAAGGGGGATTTATCGTCGCGATCAATGACGTGTCTGTCGGGGGGAAGGTGTTGTGATCTCAGGGGTTTCAACTTCGAGATATTGACAAGTTTTCCAACAGCTTGGAAGCACTCCTGATGACGCTGCTTCGCTTCTGAGGGGAGAAGATGGTAGCACTGTGAACATCAAGCTTGGTCTTGCTTCTTCATGGAGTTTGGAGTTACTGAAAAACTTTACAGAGTCGAAGGGGAAAACAAGGGAACTGGTATTAACAAGGGAGATCCTTAAGGCAACTTCGGTTTCTTCCAAGCTTGTGCCATCACCTGAGTCGAACAGGTCGAGGAGAGCAGAGAGCTTGTCTTGTCCGTCGGTCTGACTTTCTTTGCAGCTTCATGGTTGGAGTCATTCGAATCCCCTCGTTCAACAAGGCAACAACATCACAGGTTGCCTCTGGCCCGTCACTCTAGAGCTCACGAGCGTCTTCCCAGGTTCTCTCCGAGGCGAAGGCGCTCAGAACTCAGGGAGCTAAGGTTTGCACCTTCAGATCCGAGGCAGGTGGGGTGACCTTACCGCCTGACCGTAGGCTCTCCTGCTGGACCTCAGAGGAAACCTTGGGGGTTATTTCCCAGCTGGGGTTGACCTTGCAAAGGTGAAAATCGAGTGTGTAAGTTGTGCCTTGACACCATAGAGCAGGAGCTGCTTCCTTCTGACACGACCATCGTGTCTGTGGCTGATGGCAAGGGGTCTGGGTCGGACTACCGAACAGAGCATGTATGTGGCATCACATGCCTTGTAGTGTTCCTGTGCTTGCCCTCACATCTACACAGAATGGTGCACTAGCCGAAGTTTCGTTGGCTGTTCTTGTAGATCACAACACAGCGAGTGCTGCAGAAGTTCTCACAGCAGCTCTACAAGTGTGAAAAGCTTGACGGAGGCTGTGTTGCTGATGAGATCGCAGGACAACAAGAGGGCGGGAGTTATCGGAGAGCAGACGTACGGCAAGGGATTGGTGCAGGTGTGAGATTCCCTGCTGCGCGTGCTGTGAGAGTGAAAGGATGGTCTGTCTGCAGACCATTGCGAGGCTGCAAGACGGGAGTGCGCTGGTCATCACTGTTGCCAAGTACCGCACTCCTCTTGGCCAAGACATCAACAAGGTCTCGTTGTTATGGTTTCCACTGGATCGTTGACACTCTTTCCATGGTAGGAGGGGATCAGCCCTGACCTCACCGTCAAGTTCAAAGACAAGAAGGAGGAGGTTTCCTATGTCCCCATGTCCATGTACCTGAATACAGTCCACGACTAACTGAACTTCTTGACCCATCCCAATCGTGTTTTTGTTGTGTTCGGAGTGAGTGAGGTAAACAAGCTCTTCAGCTTGATTCAGAATTCTCGTTATTGGTGAGGATGAGTATTCGATGCTCCCAAGAGCATGATCGAATCTTTACTGAGCCTCAGCACAAGTGGCCGCGTTGACTCCTCTTCCTCATATCTGATTCATCCTCTCGCCTTCCATCACGGATTTCCTGCTTGGCTTCCGAGCGCCCTGATCTGTCTTGCTCAGATTTAGACTTGTCATCGACCTGTTCCTCTCCTCATAGCTCCTGGTCTTGAACCTCCTCCTCCTCCTCCTCCTCATCATCATCATCATCATCATCATCATCGCTCTCCCTTGCTTCCCGCCCCCATCCCTCCCTCTCCCCTTCCCCCCCCTTTCCCTTCCCTTCCTGTCCCTGAGGAAAGTTCGGCTTCCGTTGACCTAGAGGGCCTACCCGGAGAGGGTGGGATCTTTTAGACGTAGGGGTCATTACTACCGGGTTATTTTACCATCTCATCCGTGGTGACTGAGGGGTAAAGATGATCCATGGTGGGGTAGGGTGGGAGGAAGGGTGGGATAGCCCAGGGGTGCTGCCGCAATGATGCCTCCGGTGGAGTCGCTGGTGAAGTACGAGGAAGCGGAGAAGGTGACAGGGAAGGTGAGAGGAGAGAGAGAGGGGAGGAGGAGGAGGAAGAGGAGAGAACAGGAAGACGGGAACACGAGGACGGGAGAGAGCGATTCTGGAGGGAAGGGCGTAGTGGAGAAGAGGGAAACGGAAACGGAGAGGAGGACGATCATATAATCTTGCGAATCTGACAAGAAATGAGGCGATTTGGAAAATACAAACCATAAACAAGCGCGTGATAGTGACTATATCAGCTTTGAATGTCATGAGCGATATGTTCCTTGGTCTTGTAGGAGTTGAAAAACGAGTTCTATTGATAGCATATGTGCTATCAAGCTGTCAGCATTATGCTGAAATGACGACCTCATCAGACGAAGAGCAAGAAGAGCAACGCTGCAGCTGATCCGAAGGCAAAATCAGTACAAACAGAAGACATCTTGAATGCTATCTTGCCCCCACGGTAATCGAAGCCTGAACATGTCGTGAGCTTGACTTCTGCACACAGAGAATGGACAGAAGGAGGAGAGCTGTGGGTTCAGTACGTTTCCACTCAGATGCCAACAAGATCGGACGCAATTAGACTAGCTGTTCGTCTTGTGTCTGCCGCGAGTGACTGCGATGCTGACGCTGTCCTCCCATCAGGAAAGGCTTGATCAGCGACTGAAACTGCGAGGAGCGAGGGAGCATGGGATATGCACTATCCGTGAAGAGATCTATGCCCAGTGTTTCGGTATCCTATAGCCTCGTGAAGGCGACTTGATGACATGGAGGTCAGATGAGTTGATCCGACAAGTAACGATAGATTGCCCAGAGAGAGGACTTCTGTTCCTGAGGTTGCGTGACGAAGCGAGTATGAGCGAACTAGTCCCTTGGGATAAGCCTGAGACATGCTCACAGGAATGAGGATTGCAGCATATCAGTCCCTGTACGAGAGCAGCCTGGCTTTTGCTGTGCGGAAAGCCGTGACAGGAGAGGAGCAGAGAAACGAACTGTTGCATCAGACGAAGAACCTCACCAACGAGTGCGAAGAGCTGAGACACGCGCTTCATGATCAGACGGTGAGGATGTAGTTGAGGTGTGAGGGCGAAGTGAGCGCTGAGTAGGAGAGAGCTGAAACCATCGACTCGAAGGAAGAAGAGAAATGGCAGCAGGTAAGTCAATTTGACGATCTTCCTTCTGCTCACCACAGCTCTAGATGAAAATCAAACATCATCAAGAAATCAAGTCGTTGAAAGACACGTAATCAATGATCGCCTCGACTGTGGCACGTTACTCACGAGTTTTCAGGTACAAAGCACAGACGAAGCACCTGCAAGAGCTGCTTGCACCTCCACCAGGTTTCGTCAAGTGAATGGCAGGACAGCAGAAGGCAGCGCGACTACTGGGACTTGTTGATCACATATGTTTTCGATGTATCAATACTGTAAAAACATTGAGTTTTATCAAATGAGCTAGTTTAAATATGACACTTTCAGCCACGTGACAAAGTTTCGAGCTCCGCCAACATCACTGCTCGAGTAGATTCTATTGGCTTAACCTGTTGTACTGACGCTTGTAGCTTTCAATCTCCCTCTTGATCTCGTCGAGTTCCTTCCTGTCTGCCGCCATCTTATGCTGCAATCTCCAGTCTTGCTGCTTGGCTTTATCCGCCTTCAGCTGGGCCTTCACAGCCAAGTTGTGCAGCTTCAAATAGTCCGAGTGGAGCTCTTTCGAGTGGTGAATTTTCTTCTCGAGCTCAGGGAGTTTCGAGTTGACTCTCCTCATGATACGGTCTCTCTGCACCCTCAGAATGTCCTCCCGCTGGGAAATCTTCTCCGCCTTTTGAAGTTTGTCGATCGATCGCTTCTTCGAGGAGAAGAAGTGAGAGTCGATCCCGTCTGTAAAAGATTCAGCCCCCTTCTCGCTCTCCAAACTTCTCAGTCGCCCAGTAGCAGTCTTTACAAGGTCCTGCATCCTCTCGCTTTCTCGTTGCAGCTTCTGGATGCGCGCCATGGCCTGCTGGGCAAGCTTCGGTTTGTTTGCAAGGCTCTCGGCAGTGGTCTCAGCTCCTGCGAGCTTCAGCTCGACAGCGTTGTAGGCCTGATTAGCACGGTGAACGTCCTCTTGCGCCTTCTTGACCGGGCCAGCCATCTCATCGAACTTCTTCTTGCGCTCCTCGCTCATTCGTTGAAGGTGTTTGGCCTCTTGCTTCAGCTCGTCGGCACGCTTCTTCTCGTACGAGATCTCAGTCTCAAGGTGACGTGCGCGCTTCTTGTCATGCAGCAGCTCCAGGGCTTCGCGCAGAGTCTTGCGGCGCGACATCTCGGCAGCACTGAAATCCTGCATCTCCTCCCTCTCGAGACTCAAGGCATGGCCCTGAAGGTCGGACGCCTCCATTCTCCTTGCACGCTCTTCATTCTCAATACTGTGGAGGTCCGTCTCTTTCAAGTCGATCTCAGTCTTGAGGTCTTGCAGGCTGTTCGAGTCCTGCGTCAACCTGGCAGCGAATCGTCTCCCATGCCCTTCTGATTCCCGTCGGATTCTTTCCTTCCTGGCCATCTTCATGCCGGACAGTTCGTCCGCGCTTTCCGTTGGCCCTTGCTGAAGCCGTTCTTCCATCAGATCCTTGTAGGCTTCCAAGGCCTGCTTGCGGCTGCGGATGTAAGTGAACCCGGCGTTGTTCCTCAACTTAGTTGACAGAAGCGCTTCACGTCCCTTGGTGTCCATGGCGTCGGAGTGAGAATGCCCCCTGGCCCCAGCCTCGTGCAACTGCAGCTCACGGAGAGCGTTCTTCGTCGCCCTTGAGTTCAGAAGCGAGTATCCACTTCCTCGGGCGCTGGAGTACCTTCCGGGATGCCAGCTGCTCTCCTCGCTTCCTGAAATCTGAACCAGGTTCCTTGGCATGCTCTGCTTCAAGTGTGAAGTGCCTTGCATCTTTTCTCGGTATGCCTTCAAGGCCTTCAAGCTTGCAGGAGAATGAAGGAGCGCAGCGGCGTGCTGACCCAAACTACTGATGGAAGCGTCCGCAGAGCCCCCTCTCTGCTGATCGAGTCCGTATGTCATTCTTTCTGAGAGAGCATGACGAACGTTTCTGTCTGGGGCGATCATCACAGGACCATAGACCTGCGATCCCTCGCTTCCATCCATCGGCATGATGGCATCAACACCAAAGAGCTTATAAAGAACATGTAAGAATCCTCCCTCCCGCAACTAGCAAAGTTGATATCACCTCAGTCGCTTGATTCTTCTGCAAGAGGACAACCCCTGCAATAGCGAAGCATGCTGCTGCGAATACAGCTGCATACTTCATCCTTGCCGTGAATTTGCCAGGCGGGGATGCCTTGGTCGGCTCGGGTGGTTCAGACCTTTCAAGCTGCAGAGAACGTGAGTTGAATGTAAATCGAAGTGTCTATTGCTTGGTTGGCACAACCTTGTAGCTCTTCTCTCTCCTGCAAACTATCTTCCTCCCTCTCTTCTCTTCTCTCCCTCCCTCCCTCCCTCCCTCCCTCCCTCCCTGTCCGCCTCTTCAGCTTTTCGCCACTTGCATCACCTGAACCATCGTCGCGTCGCGCCTGCTGCGAAGGGACAGACCACCCACCCATAGGATTTAGTAGTTAATGTGGGGTGTGATGGGTCCATCCATGCCAAGGGTAGGGGTCATCACCCACTTGTGAAAATGACGATATTTTGTGGAAATAGTAGGGGTAACCAAGTGACCCCACCTCTACTTGAATCAGAGGCAATCCGATCACTTAAGTGACCGGGGGCTGTCCGGGGCGGCTCGGCGAGTCCCGGGCCGAGGCCGACTCAGTCTGGTCTGACAGGCTGACTGAGTCACAAGTTCATCCACTGCCGGCCGTTAAACAGTGATGGCAGGACCCCGGGCCCGGCGGACCAGCAGGCTGAACCGTCAGTCACAGCAGCAGTCACAGTGACGCGCGCGGCAGATCTCACATCTCTTACTAGTTCATCATCAACTACATTTTGACCGTTTCCTTCGCCACTTATTCACATATCGCTACAAGTCTTCCACCACATCGTCAGCTCGGAGGGTTCCCGTGTCCAGGTCGATGTTGAGCTTCCAGAAGCGATACCACTCCTGGAAGCTGACGTCACCGCCCTGGTCCTCGTCGAGCACGTTCATCAATGCTTCGATCTGGCAGGAGAGGTGAGGAGGAGGAGGCCCCGAGAAGAACCCGCTACCTCTATCGGGGAGAGCCAGATGCCGAGACGGAACAGCCCGACAGCGATCTCCGTCCTCTCGAGCGTTCCTCCTCCGTCCCTGTAGACGTCACGGTCATGGCCGCTGCCTCTCCTCGCCCGCCTTCACTTGTCGATCTTGGAGAAGGCGTCGAGGGCTGACTCGAACTTCTCCGTCAACTTGCTCTTGATGATCCGCAGGCGCATGTGCTTGACCCACTCGTGTCCTGTTTCCTTCACATGAGAATGCTGGCGGGAGGAGAGTGGAGGAGGAGGGAGAGAGGAGGAGGAGGGAGAGAGGGAGGGAGGTAGAGAGGGAGGGAGGTGGAGAGAGGGAGGGAGGTAGAGAGAGGGAGGGAGGTAGAGAGAGGGAGGGAGGTAGAGAGAGGGAGGGAGGTAGAGAGAGGGAGGGAGGTAGAGAGAGGGATGGAGATAGAGAGAGGGATCAGAGGAAGAGGGAGGAAGGGAAGGAAGGAGGGAAGACGGGGGAGGAGGAGGAAGGAGGGAGAACGGGGACCTGTTCTCTCCTGGTACTTCGGGGGCCAGCAGGGAGAATCAGCGAAGGAGTCGGTGATGCGATTGACGGTCTCGCTCTCACGGCAGAAGAAGAAAATCAGCTTTCCTCTGCGAGACGAGTGAGAAGAGGAAGAGCAGGAGCAGGAGCAGGAGCAGGAGCAGGAGCAGGGGCGAGGTACTTCTTGGGGATGTCGAGATTCCAGGAGGGCGGCAAGGGAAAGTCCATCTTCTCGTTGAACTGGACGTCGACGAAGCTCTGAGGGATCAGGTGAGGAGGGAGGGGGAGGAGGGGGAGGGTGGGAGGAGGAAGATACGACGGGGAGAGACGAGGGTTTTAGGAGAGTCAAGGGGAGGGGAGGGGAGTCATCGGTGAAGTGAAAGGGAGTTCGGTGTTGACTGACTTTCCCGCTTTCTCGTTCTCCGAGATGTTTCAAATCTTGCATGATACGACGATGTCTGAGAGAAGAAGTTGAACAAGAAGCACGGCAAGGGGGGGTGGAGAGGAGAGCAGGTGATGGTGATGGTGATGGTGATGGTGGTGGAGCAGCAGCAGCAGCAGCAGCAACAGAAGGGGAAGGAGGAGAGGGAAGGGGAGGGCAAGAATTTGGCAGGAGGGATTTGACAAGAAGAGAAGGAAGAGAAAGAATGATTTCTCTTACTCGACGTCTTCTAAATCGAGCTCGTATTTCCCTGCGACAAACATATTCACATTGCAACGGTGGCGGCAGATCGTGCAATACCGACAGCCACGTTCTCGTTGAACAAGTTGTAAGCCCCGATCCTGTTCTCCAGCTCCCTGTTCGCAGCAGGTTGAGCTACGGAGGGATCGGGAGTGCAGCAAGACTTTCCTCTGCTCGATGCTGGTGAGTTTTTCCAGGATGAGAGGCCTGAAGCCGTTCCAATCCACGACCCTTGCAAAGACGATAACACAGAGTTCTACCTGCTCTTGATGTGTCAGACTTGCAGCCTACTGCTCCTGCACTGAGGAGCGTCTGCTCACCCTGATGGGAGATTTTCCTTCCTGGATCCCAACTTCCCGCAGGGACGGGAGGCGGTTGAGGTTGAGGATAATCCCCATGCGCCATGACGTGAAGGATGTAGAGAGCCGTCTGACTTGATGAGATCAGATGCGAGAGATGCTGGACGTGAGGGATGAGATATAAGGTATGAGATGAGAGGGAGGAGGGAGGAGGGAGAAGGATGGAGGGAGCAAGGAGGAGAGAAGAGGGAGGAGGGAGGAAGGTGAGAGGAGACACTACAGACGAGAGAGAGGAGAGAGAAGAAAAGAGGAAAGAGAGGAGCGAGGAGGGAAGGTTGGTGTTAACATTGACCTGTTCGACCATCGGGATATGATTTCGCTCTTGTCCAACCTGATCACAACATGAGAGAAGCTTTGCAGTCGAAGATGTTTCAGCCGACTTCTTCTTGATCTTCTGCCTCAGGGCCATGAGTTTGGTGATCTGCAAGATGATGTAGAGGATCTTCATTATCAAAAGATCTTCCGTGAGTCGACGAAGACGCAAGTGATCGTTGCTTGCCTGCTTGCAAGTGAAGAAGTACAAGTTGGAGGACTTTCTCACTTCTGTCAGAATCTCTTCAGGAGACTGTGAACAGTGAGGTCAGAACTTGAACATGTTGAAAGGAGCCAAGAAGGAAGGGAAAGCTAGGAAGAGAGTGGGGAGGAGAGGAGAGGAGAGGAGAGGAGAGGAGAGGAGAGGAGACGAGACGAGACGAGACGAGACGAGACGAGACGAGACGAGACGAGACGAGACGAGAGGTTGAGGACAGAGGGGATGAAGTGAACGAGAGGGATGAGGGGGAGAGAAACAAACCTTCTGTGTTCCCCATCCATCACCACACAGACTCACAACCATTTCATTGCTGATGACTGCAACAGGTTTGTTGGGCCTGCTGATCTGCTCCAGATGTCAGAAAGTTTCAATGGTGATAGATTTTACCCACCTGTACGAAATCAAGCTCGAGGACTCCCTCATTCGGAAGCTTCCAAGTGTTTGAGTATAAATGCCGCTGATCAAAAGAGTAAAATGTCACCGTCGTCATGAACATCATCATCATCATCATCATCAACAGCAGCAACATTATCATCATCATCAACAACTACTACTACTACTACTACTACTACTACTACTACTACTACTACTACTACTACTACTACTACTACTACTACAACGTTCTTGTCAACCACAACAGCGTCAAATCGAGATTTCGTTTACAACCTTGTGGTTGTAATAACAGTTCCTCCACACGCGATCAAAATTGACTCGCTCCCCCCCTTTCTTCGTCTTCGACTTCTTGAACTCTTCGTCCTCGAACGTCATCTCCTGCCTCACAGTCAAGAACAGGTTGCAAGCTTTTCAGGCGAACGAGATTCTTGAAGTAGATCAGATCAAGTGCTATCGCCTGCCAGGAAAACAGACGATCAGATGGAAAGAGAAAGTCACAGCAGAATGTGCAGATTAAGAAGGACATGAAGCATCTCACTCGATCCTGCGGTCTGTCCAGGTGGAGGGAATAATGCCCTGTTGGGTTGTTTGCTGCAGGAGGAAGAGGAGAGAGAGAAGGAGAGTGAGGAGGAGGGGAAGGAGGAGGGGAAGGAGGAGGAGGAGGGGAAGGAGGAGGAGGAGAGACGGAGGAGGAGGAGCAGAAAGAGGAGAGGGAGCAGGAGGAGGGGAAGCAAGAGGGGAAGGAGAGCGAGAACTCGACGTCATCACATGCTCAGCATGAAGATGATTCAGCTCACGTGTGAATTCTAGTCGCTTCTTCCCGATCCTGATGGCGAAACGAATCGCCTCGAACTGATGGGCGAAAAGAGTCAGTGGAGAGGTGAGAAACAAGAGGGACGGAGCAGGACAGGGGATGAAGCTTTCAAGAGCAAGGAGTCAGATGGAAGGAGGAGCGAGCAGGAAGAGGAAGATTGGCATGGGGAGAGGAGGTGGGCGACGGAGAGAGGGAGTGGACGAGGACGAGGACGAGGACGAGGGCGAGGACGAGGACGTGGTACCCCTGTGAGCTCATTGGTCAGCAGAGAGGATTGTGCGCTGTCGGAGATATGGAGGAACGCGAAGCAGGCGAAGTAAACCCTGGGGGAGGATTCAGAGAACGTTCGAGATCGGTAGGAGGAAGCAAAAGGGGAGGGTGAGCTTGCCAGAAGGAGACTGGGGAGGATGCAAGAAGCAGAAGGCGCGGGAGCAGGGGACGAAGAAGAGCAAGGGGAGGGTGGGACCTGGTCTCGGAGTCCGACAGCAGTCCTAGGAGTTTCGCAGCTTGAGCTGCGCTGAGGTAGACCCTGTTGCGAGTGCTGTCGGTGGGGAGCAGCAGAAAGGGGACGGAGAAAGAAGCGAAGGGAAGAGGGAAGGAGGCAGGAGGAAGGCAGGAGGGAGGGAGGAGGAATGAGGAAGGGAGGGAAGAGGAATGAGGAAGGGAGGGAGGGAGGGAGGGAGGCAGTACCCCTTGAGAAGAGCTTCCAGCAGCTCCTTCGTCTCCTGCAGCACATGCATGAGGCGAAGGCTGGAAGGAAGCGACGGGAACCTCCAGCGACTTCCTGCCGTCGAAGAAGTCGCAAAGTTTCAGCATCGACGCCTGCTGCAGCTGATCCCCAGCTGTGTTGACGTCGCCAAAGTGACGACCAGCAGGAGGCTTCCTGTAGCTCGCAAACTGCAGCAGCTGAGCGTGACAGGTGGAAGGGATGGGGGGAGGGGAGGAGAGAGAGAGAGAGGAAGCAGACAGGGTTGAAGATGAGAGGGAGAGAGGGAGAAAGTGGGAGGGAGCGAGGGAGCGAGGGAGGGGAAAGAGAGAGGGGGGGGGGGGGCAGGGTTGATATGCATTCCGAGGTTATCAAAGTCGGAAGCAAACGTGGAGGGGAAGAGGATCGAGCATCACCTCGAAGGTGAGGATGCCGCTAGTGGGCATGGAGCTCTTGTTCTTCTGACCTTCTGCAGTGAAATGAGAAGGTAGAAAGGCAAGTATCCTCCCTCCCTCCCTCCCTCCCTCCCTCCCTCCCTCCCTCCCTCCCTCCCTCCCTCCCTCCCTCACCTTCGCTTGTCTCGTACAAGTCACTTTGTGAGGCTCTTCCGGTGTCCAGCTTGTACGGTTTGTCGTTGAGGAGCATTCCCGGACAGAACTTGTTTCATCAGGAGTGAGGAAACGAACAACGAGGAGGAGGAACTTACGCTGCCTGCCTTCTGCATCTGGAGCTTGAGGAGAGACTTCAAAACCTGATTGGACGACGTGAGATGAAAAGAGTGGGGGAAGGAAAATGGAGGAGAAGAGAAGTGCTTCTTGTCAGATTCTCAAGTACACCTTTCTTGAATATTCTTTTGACATGTCAAGCTTGTATGGACCTGAGATGGAATTACATGAATTTCCTTTCCACATCCCATTCCTTGCCCTCCTCCCTGCTATGCTCCCCTCTGGAGCTCTGTCGTCTCCTCCTCCTCTCCCTCTGCTCCCTGCTGCTCGTCTCGTCTCGTCTCTTCCTCTTCTCTCCCGTCACCTTGCGGCTCATCTGCGTCAAAGAAAGTCGCATCGATCATCTGCTGCATGTGTTAAAAGCGCACGAAATGCTTTCTGGACTCTGACCTCAACTGCACATCGTTGCATCGAGACGGAGATGGAGTGGTCGACTCGAACACAAGCTCTCTGCTCCGTGCATGAGATGACGGAAGGGGGAGGCAAAGAATTGCGAAGGGTAGCGAGGGGGAGAGAAGGCCAAGAGAAGAGTGGAAGAGAGCAGGGAGAGGGAGGGAAGACATCGGATGGAGGTTAGGTGAAAGCAAAAGAAAGAGAGGAGGAGGAAGCTGGAAGCTGGGAGGAGCACGAGAAAACGAGGAGATAGAGTTAGAGGCGAAGGAAGGACAGTAATTAAAGTGGTAGAAGTGACGGTGAGGAGGTGAAGACCTGCAGTGATCGGGCCCCGCTGGCCTTCATCGGGTTACCGTCGAGCACGACGCGGGTCAGGGTATTGTTCCTTTCCAGGCCGTCTGCAAGGATGGTAGCGCTCTCAACGTCGACGTCGTTGTAGGACAAGTCGAGGAAGGAGAGGCGGCAGCGAGACTGATCGTTTCCTACCAGAGAGGAGGAGAGCTTTTTTATCACGTCCTTCCTCCCAAAGGAGTTCCAGGCGAAGTTGCATGAGGCAAGGGTCGGGTTGTAGTACAAGCTTTCTGCAATCCTCTCCGCCGCCATCCCTCCGATCTTGTTCCAGCACAAGTTGAGCTCGCAGAGGCTCTTGCTGCTCAGGATCAGTCGCTCCATGGAGGATGCGAAAAATTTCTCCACAGCGAGGGTGGGGATGGAGGAGATGTTGTAGGAGAGGTCCAAACTAGTCAGGCTGGTGGAACGTGAGGCCGACATGGCTATGATCGCGATGCTCTCGTGCGACATTCCGTTGTGGGACAAGTCCAGCACCTTGATCCCCTTCTCCTGCAGGAGGAGAGCGATCTCTGCAGCAGCGTCTCTCCCCTCCTTCCGAGGACTCTTCTCGCCCTCCTCCGCCTCTTCCTTCTTCCTCGCGCTCAACTCCTGGGCGCTGTTGAGGTAGTCCACCTTGGACCAGTCCGTCGGCGGGTAGTGGGAGGACAGCAGAGCGTCATTCTGGATGTTGTTTTTCCCCAGCAGCAGCACCTCCAGCGGATTTGCGCTGGCTCTGAGCGCTATGCAGAGATCGTGGGTCCCTGACGCCTTGAGGTCGTTGTCGGTGAGGACCAGCTCACGGATCCAGCAGGAGGAGAGCAGGAAGAGAGACAACGACTGCGCTGACTTGAGGCGGGGGTAGAGGCATCCCTTCAGTCTCAGCCTGTCGGTGCAGATGTTGTTGCTCTCGTCGAGGAGGAAGAGGGAGTTGGGGGCTGCGCCGTTCTCTATACAGCTGACGAAGTACCTCACAATCGCTCCTCGGAAGTTCCCGGGCAAGTCTCCGTCCCTCCCGTCCACAAACGACGAGATCACCTCCTCCACGTCCGCGGAGGAGGAGTGAAGCATGAAGAGCAGCTTCTCTCGGATCACCTGCCACCAGAAGGGAAACTCGCTCAGGTGATGTCGCTCGCTCCTATACGTCGTCTCATTCCGCTTCCGCTCGATCCCAACTGCTGCCTTCTCCTGCTCTTCTCCCATCACCGGCGTACTCCTCCCCGAAGACAGGACGGTGAACGAGTCCAGCTGGTCCTCAGCTTCCTGCTCCTCCTTCTTCACTTCTTTGCGCGCATGCAGCGATGCCTGATGCGCGCTTCCTCGCATGTGCTGGTCCAGCACAGTCGCGTTGATGAAATTCCTCCTGCAGACGGGGCACATGAAGTCTCCGACTCCCTTGGGCTTATAGTAAGAAGCATTCATCACATCCTCGGGCTTCTTCTTGGGCTTGAACTTCCTGTACCGGACTGCAGCTCCTTTGCTCCCCTGCTCCCTGAGGTGCTTCCGAAAGACAGGGAACTGATCTGAGCTGTGGATCAGAGCTCCTTGTGGAGGGGGGAAAGGCCAGTTGATGGTCGAGTTTGCAAGCCACACCCGAGGAGGAGGAGCCGGCTTGATCCCGACAGCAAGGTCAAACACTTCCTCTTCCGGTGTCTTGGTCTGCTGCTGTCTTGCATGCGACTGGGTGGGGGAGAGGGTCGGGGTTATGAGCTGGGCCTTAGCGAGAGGAGTGAAGAGCTGGTTGAGGATGCTGACGTAGCTCCCTTTCCTCATGCTCGGGGTCGAGATGGAGCTAGCTCTAGAGAAGAGAGGCGTCTCCATCGTACTCTGAGCGAGGATGGACTCCAGGGATTCATACGAGATCTGCAGGGCTTCTGCGAGCGAAAACAGCAGCTTTCTGAAGGACTTGCGGTTGAACGAGTTGCTCTTGACGGGAAGTGCCATCTGCGCTATCTTCTCGATCTGCTCGCTCGTCATGAAGTGATCCAGACCTACCTGCTGCAAGATGCGTATCGTGTGCTCGAACGAGAGCTCCTGATCTTTACCGGCTCCAGACTGAGTTTGCCGGAAGAACAAGGAGGACGCAGTGTCCAAGGAGTTGAGCTTCATCTGGTGCAATCGCTTCTGATCCATCTGCCTCCTGTAAGCTGCCTCTCGCGAGACCCTCGTCCTCTCCATCTCTTCCATCTCATCCAGGATCGTCTCCAACGCCTTTGGCGTTTCTGCTTCCTGCTGCTCTCGACTCTCCTGCGTCTTAGAAGGGACTGATCGAGGACGTCGCAGCTTCGCGAATTCATCTTGCTCGCCATTGTTATCAGGTATCCGAGCGGTTTGCGGCCTAGGAAAAGCCTCATCCCCAAGGAACAACTGTAACTTCTTCCCTGCTCCTGGCGTCCCCACTAATTCGGTGATACTTTTCTTCATGATGTTCGTTTGACAGAGATCAAGGCTATCTTAAATCTTCTTGATCTTCCTTGTCTGCCTCTAGCTTTCTCCTCCTCCTCTCTCTCTCCGCCTCTTGCGAGGCCATGACGGCACACTCGCCAAGGCGCTTCTGTGCGCCATAGCCAAACGGTCCAGTCAAAAAACCCACAACCCCCTCAGCCACCGCATCCCCACACTGACCATGTGATGGAGAAAAATCCAGGAAAAATCCCACAAAAAAAATCCCCTGGAAAAATCCAGCCTTGAAAAATTCAGTGCAGGAAAATTGCCAGAAATTTGCTTTCACTGCCAGGCTGTCATCATGGACTGCAGTACTCGGATACCTGTTCTTAGCCTACTAGGCTAACAAACATCTGAAAAGAGAGAACAAGAATGCATTTGATCGATACATTCTCTGAAACTTCGGATCAGCGACACTGACGTCAGAATTTATTGCTAAAGTCATACAACATACCAAACCATCATCACAAGTCGCTCATGGCATGATACTTCTCCTCATGGATCATTGCTGTCCTGCCATGACACAGACTGCAGCTTGCAGACCTGATACTGGATGGCCTGTCCGACATCGAGGCGATACCTGCTCCGCTTGGCAACAGCCTCGGAGCCGGTTGGTGAGGCGCATGAAGGTGTCTACCAGCTCGACGTCGTTTTCGAGTCCAACCGGGAAATCTCCTGCCGCAGTACTGATCGGCGCACAAGCTGTGCTTGACTCTTCACTGTCGTCCTCGCCATCCTCGCTTTCATCCTCAAAGATGAACACTTCGTCCTCAGAGTCTAAACATACCCGCATCCGCTTCAGCGACCGCTTGAGCAGATTTTCATCAGGAAAGCAGTACTGGACCGAGCATGCATCCTCCATGTCCGAGGTCGTCGAGCTCGCCCCGTGAGATAGGCACGCCTCCAGATCAGATATGTTGATGCCGTATTGCTTCATCTCAGCGAGGATGCGATAGATGGCGTCACGCTTGCTGCGGGCCATGGAGGGGGTAGCAGGAGGGGCTTGCATGGAGCAGTACACAGGTAGGAGGCAGGGGGACAAGGAGGAAGGGATCGACACTGGCAGGCAGGGAGACTCGAGGAGGAGGAAGGCAGAGGAGCAATGTGACCTTGTTTGTAGAAGTTTGGAGAGCTTTTGCCCCACCTGACTCCCTCAGTACCCCCTCTATCGGCAACCTGTACCCCGAGAGACGGGATGACCGTATGCGGAAGAGGGAAAGGACCCGGTAGAGGGTGAAGAACCTCTCACCCCACCCCCTGGGGTATTGCTCAACCTTTTGAGCCGGGAACCCAAACAATGATCCCTCAAAATTGAGGCGGGCCCGCAGCTTGGTAGCTCGTGCACTTATGGGGACTCCAGTGGGCCTCAGGGCCCGCAGGCTCCGCCGGACGAGCTCACGGTGGCACCGCGGCACTGTCACTCAGCGATGAGCAGGTCTTGACACACTTCAGAGGCTTCATTACACACCCGGTATTACACTCTTAATCAAGACAACATGCCAAGCCTTGAAGATCCGAGGCTACTTCTATAAGCCTGGCTCACACAAACGATACGATATCTGCATTACTCGCTCGACATCATCGCCCTCACCGTGCTCGGCTGTAGCAGCTCCTTACTCGCGATCCAGTACCTCGTGGGCTGCACCCGACGCCCCTTGGACCTCTCGAGTACGCCGTTGTCCACCAGCTTCCCTAGCTTGCAGGTGATGGCTTGTACGGTCACGTGACGGGAGCCTTCGCCGATTCTTTCGTTGTAAGCGTCGGCAAACTCCTTGGCCGTCATGCCTGTGCCCTTGTAATTGTAATCCACCAGCTCCTGCTTGAAGGTCTCGCTGGTCTCCCGGTTTTCGATCGCGATTGCGCGCAGCGTCTGAAGCACTGGGTCTTCGGCATGCAGGCGGTCTAGAAACTTTCTTCCTGGGCGCTCACAGCCAGGCTCGGGGTCCTCGAAGCTTGTCTCAAGCCTCAGGTTGTCGTTGCGCTGCCCGATGGGCTTGTTCTGACGGAAGATCACGTTGGCTCGGTCCGAGTAGGTGGCCAAACGTGACGTGGCCTCGCTGATCCCCGTGCCCTCTTGGAGCTTCTGCTGCATCTCCGCCAGCCACTGCGGATAGGCCTGCGCCGAGTCAAAGTCCTGGGGGTACGTGAGGACGGTGACGTGCTGGAAGCCGTTGTCCTCGAGCTTGCTGTCCTGGTAGCTCGCTCGCCCCATGGCCTGGACCATCTTCTCGATGCTCATGGCGCGGCCAAGCGCGCAGATGATGTGGGTGGGCACCCGCCTGTTGCTCCTGAAGGTATCGCCGCGGATCATCTGAGAGTAGCCGAGGACCACCAGCGGCGTCTCAAGGCCCACGTGGCCGTCGATCGCCTCAATCAAAGCCGACACGTCCATCCTCCTGATCACATATGCCGGCGGAGGGGCTATGCTGTCCTCGGGCAGTCGCGGCTGAGGCGGGGGCATGTAGAAGCGGCCCCGCCCGACGACGATCAAGGCAGCGACGCGGGGATAGGAGTTCTGGATGCGCCTGGCGAGCTCGAAGACATTGTTGGCGGCGTCGACGCGCGGGTTGGTGATGACGAGGGTGAGCGAGCAAGGCTTGTCGACGGCCTGGCGGATGACTTCGTCGGTGAGGTGGTTGGAGTAGAGGTTGGCGGGCTTGAGGTCCTTGGGCATGAGGAACTGATTCTTGCCGTCGATCTGCAGGGGCTTGAAGTCGCGCACGCCGACGTAGGTGTGGTCGGGCTGGGTGTAGATGATGGAGTCAGAGTCTAGACCAAACTTCTTGTCCTTGAGGTGAAGGAAGACCGGGATCAAGGTCGCTGAGACGCTCCAGCGCAGGACTGGCTTGACCTGCTGGTGGAGGTCAGCGAGGGCCTTCTCGAGCTGGATCGGGTCAGAGCTGTTGCGGTAGTAGGAGTCAGCCTCGTCCAGGATGAGCTGGCATGGGAAGTCCTCGCCCAGGTGAGCGCAGGATCGGGCGCTCTGGATGGTGTGCGAGGCGTTGTAAAGCTTCAGTCTCGCCGTGTCGTTAATGAAGAGGCAGCCATGCTTGCGCAGGAAGTTGCACATGGGCTCGGGCCCGTGCTTGCGAGCATCGAGCTCGCAGATGTGCTTGATGGTGGGCTGAAGCTTCGGATGCAGGTCGCGCAGGAGGTACCTCTCGATCTTGTTGCTAAGAGAGCTGGTGCCGCTCCTGGTGGTGGAGACGATGATGGAGGAGACGCCGAGAAGATGCCCGACGACGATGGCGAGGACCTTGATGAGGGTCTTGCCGTTCTGTGTCACGCCTCCCGCGATGATCTCGGGCATGTCTCCGTTTGGCGAGGGGTCTATGTCTCTCCTCCAGCGACCGCCTGTCCGCGCAGACTGCAGCTTGCGGACCTGATACTGGATGGCCTGTCGGACATCGAAGCGATACCTGCTCCGCTTGGCCGAAGCTGCGAGGTCGTCGGAAGGGAAGATGAGGCGCATGAAGGTGTCTACCAGCTCAACCTCGTCCATGTCAATGGAGATGCTGGACGCGAGGCTAGCCTGGACATCTTCTGCCGCAGTGCTGAGCGGTACACGAGCTGTGCTCGGTCCTTCGCTGTCGTTCTCGTCGTCCTTGCCTTCATCCTGAGAGCCAAGCACCTCGTCCGAAGGGGAGTGGCTGGCAAAGTCGTGCGCGAGCGAACGCCGAGCCTTAAGCTGAACCGAGGTAGACTGGACGCTCCCAGTCTCATCGTCAGAGTCCATGGTCGCCCGCGTCCGCTTCCGCGACCGCTTGGGGAGACTTTGGCCACGTGGGAGCGGGCTGTCATCCAACGATACTGGGGAGGCCAAGAGGGACGGGGAGGAGTCAGATTGAGCTGAGCATGCGTCCTCCATGTCCGAGGTCGTCGAGCTCGCCCCGTGAGAGCGGCACGCCTCCAGGTCAGATATGTTGATGCCGTCTTGCTTCATCTGAGCGAGGATGCGATAGATGGCGTCACGCTTGTTGCGGGCCATGGAGGGGGTAGCAGGAGGGGCTTGCATGGAGCAGTACACAGGTAGGAGGCAGGGGGACAAGGAGGAAGGGATCGATGCTGGCAGGCTAAAAAAAAATAAGTTGTAAAGCCGTAAGTTCGGAAGTTCCGTACTCCGTAACGGACGGTTCGAAGTTCCGTAAGTTCCGTAAGTTCTGAGTTCCGTAAGTTCTGAGTTCCGTAAGTTCTGAGTTCTGTAAATCCTAACTTAGGTTCCGTACTGAGTTGTAAGTTCCGTAAGTCTCTTTGCTTATCTCCGTAAGCGCTGGGGCGTGGCGAACTGCAAATCACACGGACACCGGTCGATTTTATAGCGATTCATTAAAAGTCTAATTTTAACTCGAGGATCAGACGCCATTCACCTGGGGGCAGAAGAAGGGCCCGCCGCCGGGGGCACACTGGGGCGGCGCATTCACTGAGGTCGCGGCCGTTCCGAGGCTCGCTGCCACTTCCCCGGCCCGGCCCGGGGATGGTACGGTACTCATTGACTGCCAGTGCGAGGCTTGGGTCGGGGTGCCCCGGCACTGAGCTCGGAGTCGGAGGCTGGCGGCCGCGGGCACCGCTAGGCTCATCAGCCGCTGCTAACTTAGTAAATAAATGACGGACTCCCGCGAGCGACAGGGCCCGCCGGGCGCCCGCTGTCGGTGAGTCGCAGGCCGGGCAGGCCCCGGCTGCCAGTGTGCCCGGCGGGCCGGCGGCGGCGGCGGCGTGCCCGTGACTGCCCTTAGCACGGTGACGGTCACCGCCGGGCCCGGCTCCGGCGGCCCGGGGCCCGGCCCGGGCCGGGGCGGGCAGCACAAGTGATATAAATTTATGTTGAATATTGAGTGAAACGTTTGTGTGGAGGTGGAAATGAGCGGCAAAGTAGATGGCTATGGTGCGTCCGGTCATGGCAGTCTTCGCCATCGGATAATCCGGTGGCACCGTGACCGCGGCACGGTCACTCAGCGATGAGCAGGTCTTGACACACTTCAGAGGCTTCATTACACACCCGGTATTACACTCTTAATCAAGACAACATGCCAAGCCTTGAAGATCCGAGGCTACTTCTATAAGCCTGGCTCACACAAACGATACGATATCTGCATTACTCGCTCGACATCATCGCCCTCACCGTGCTCGGCTGTAGCAGCTCCTTACTCGCGATCCAGTACCTCGTGGGCTGCACCCGACGCCCCTTGGACCTCTCGAGTACGCCGTTGTCCACCAGCTTCCCTAGCTTGCAGGTGATGGCTTGTACGGTCACGTGACGGGAGCCTTCGCCGATTCTTTCGTTGTAAGCGTCGGCAAACTCCTTGGCCGTCATGCCTGTGCCCTTGTAATTGTAATCCACCAGCTCCTGCTTGAAGGTCTCGCTGGTCTCCCGGTTTTCGATCGCGATTGCGCGCAGCGTCTGAAGCACTGGGTCTTCGGCATGCAGGCGGTCTAGAAACTTTCTTCCTGGGCGCTCACAGCCAGGCTCGGGGTCCTCGAAGCTTGTCTCAAGCCTCAGGTTGTCGTTGCGCTGCCCGATGGGCTTGTTCTGACGGAAGATCACGTTGGCTCGGTCCGAGTAGGTGGCCAAACGTGACGTGGCCTCGCTGATCCCCATGCCCTCTTGGAGCTTCTGCTGCATCTCCGCCAGCCACTGCGGATAGGCCTGCGCCGAGTCAAAGTCCTGGGGGTACGTGAGGACGGTGACGTGCTGGAAGCCGTTGTCCTCGAGCTTGCTGTCCTGGTAGCTCGCTCGCCCCATGGCCTGGACCATCTTCTCGATGCTCATGGCGCGGCCAAGCGCGCAGATGATGTGGGTGGGCACCCGCCTGTTGCTCCTGAAGGTATCGCCGCGGATCATCTGAGAGTAGCCGAGGACCACCAGCGGCGTCTCAAGGCCCACGTGGCCGTCGATCGCCTCAATCAAAGCCGACACGTCCATCCTCCTGATCACATATGCCGGCGGAGGGGCTATGCTGTCCTCGGGCAGTCGCGGCTGAGGCGGGGGCATGTAGAAGCGGCCCCGCCCGACGACGATCAAGGCAGCGACGCGGGGATAGGAGTTCTGGATGCGCCTGGCGAGCTCGAAGACATTGTTGGCGGCGTCGACGCGCGGGTTGGTGATGACGAGGGTGAGCGAGCAAGGCTTGTCGACGGCCTGGCGGATGACTTCGTCGGTGAGGTGGTTGGAGTAGAGGTTGGCGGGCTTGAGGTCCTTGGGCATGAGGAACTGATTCTTGCCGTCGATCTGCAGGGGCTTGAAGTCGCGCACGCCGACGTAGGTGTGGTCGGGCTGGGTGTAGATGATGGAGTCAGAGTCTAGACCAAACTTCTTGTCCTTGAGGTGAAGGAAGACCGGGATCAAGGTCGCTGAGACGCTCCAGCGCAGGACTGGCTTGACCTGCTGGTGGAGGTCAGCGAGGGCCTTCTCGAGCTGGATCGGGTCAGAGCTGTTGCGGTAGTAGGAGTCAGCCTCGTCCAGGATGAGCTGGCATGGGAAGTCCTCGCCCAGGTGAGCGCAGGATCGGGCGCTCTGGATGGTGTGCGAGGCGTTGTAAAGCTGTCTCGCCGTGTCGTTAATGAAGAGGCAGCCATGCTTGCGCAGGAAGTTGCACATGGGCTCGGGCCCGTGCTTGCGAGCATCGAGCTCGCAGATGTGCTTGATGGTGGGCTGAAGCTTCGGATGCAGGTCGCGCAGGAGGTACCTCTCGATCTTGTTGCTAAGAGAGCTGGTGCCGCTCCTGGTGGTGGAGACGATGATGGAGGAGACGCCGAGAAGATGCCCGACGACGATGGCGAGGACCTTGATGAGGGTCTTGCCGTTCTGTGTCACGCCTCCCGCGATGATCTCGGGCATGTCTCCGTTTGGCGAGGGGTCTATGTCTCTCCTCCAGCGACCGCCTGTCCGCGCAGACTGCAGCTTGCGGACCTGATACTGGATGGCCTGTCGGACATCGAAGCGATACCTGCTCCGCTTGGCCGAAGCTGCGAGGTCGTCGGAAGGGAAGATGAGGCGCATGAAGGTGTCTACCAGCTCAACCTCGTCCATGTCAATGGAGATGCTGGACGCGAGGCTAGCCTGGACATCTTCTGCCGCAGTGCTGAGCGGTACACGAGCTGTGCTCGGTCCTTCGCTGTCGTTCTCGTCGTCCTTGCCTTCATCCTGAGAGCCAAGCACCTCGTCCGAAGGGGAGTGGCTGGCAAAGTCGTGCGCGAGCGAACGCCGAGCCTTAAGCTGAACCGAGGTAGACTGGACGCTCCCAGTCTCATCGTCAGAGTCCATGGTCGCCCGCGTCCGCTTCCGCGACCGCTTGGGGAGACTTTGGCCACGTGGGAGCGGGCTGTCATCCAACGATACTGGGGAGGCCAAGAGGGACGGGGAGGAGTCAGATTGAGCTGAGCATGCGTCCTCCATGTCCGAGGTCGTCGAGCTCGCCCCGTGAGAGCGGCACGCCTCCAGGTCAGATATGTTGATGCCGTCTTGCTTCATCTGAGCGAGGATGCGATAGATGGCGTCACGCTTGTTGCGGGCCATGGAGGGGGTAGCAGGAGGGGCTTGCATGGAGCAGTACACAGGTAGGAGGCAGGGGGACAAGGAGGAAGGGATCGATGCTGGCAGGCTAAAAAAAAATAAGTTGTAAAGCCGTAAGTTCGGAAGTTCCGTACTCCGTAACGGACGGTTCGAAGTTCCGTAAGTTCCGTAAGTTCTGAGTTCCGTAAGTTCTGAGTTCCGTAAGTTCTGAGTTCTGTAAATCCTAACTTAGGTTCCGTACTGAGTTGTAAGTTCCGTAAGTCTCTTTGCTTATCTCCGTAAGCGCTGGGGCGTGGCGAACTGCAAATCACACGGACACCGGTCGATTTTATAGCGATTCATTAAAAGTCTAATTTTAACTCGAGGATCAGACGCCACACACAGGCTGGCCGGGGGGCAGAAGCGGCGGCCCGCAGGGGCACAGGGCTCGGCCCGGGGCGCATTCACTGAGGTCGCGGCCGTTCTCTGAGTCTCGGAGCCTCGAGGCTCGCTGAACTTCCCCGGCCAGGCCAGGCCAGGCCGGGCCGGCATAGTACTAGTACTGACACTGCCCCGCGGCCGGGCCCGGCTTGAGGCCCGGTTCCCGGGCCGGCGCCGGATCCGTGGCATCGGATCGGGGGGCCCGCTCGGAGCTCCGAGCTCGTCGGAGGCTGGCCGAGGGGCCCGGTCCGGGGGGGGCCGGGCACCGCTAGGCTCAGCCGCTGCTAATTAGTAAATAAATGATCACGATGGTACTTTGAAGGCTGGGGGGCCTAGTTGGATCACTGACTCCGACCGCGAGCCTCCGGCGGCGGCCCCCGGTGCCGGGCCGGGCGCCGCGCCGGGCGCCCACTGTCGGCCCAGTCCGTCACGGTCGCCGTCGCAGGCCGGCCGGCCGGCGAGTTAGGAGGCTGTGCCCGGCGGGCCGCCGGCGAGTTAGGAGGCTGTGCCCGGCGGGCCGCCGGCGTGCCCGTGACTGTGTCTTGCATGCCGTACGGTCGCTTGCGTGGTTGGAGTAGCGGTTTTCAATTTGCTGCCTCCTCCGTTTCCTGTTTTTTTTCTTGAGGCGGATTTGTAGGCTGAGGTTTTCTCCTTTTCCTCCTTGTTTGCTCCGGTTTGCCTTTCCTTTTTCAGTCCATAAAAAGAAATGAGCGGCAAAGTAGATGGCTATGGTGAGCGAGGTCAGATTATCCGATGGCGAAGACTGCCATGACCGGACGCAGTGGAGCCATGGCAGGACACGCCAGTAAGACACGGAGTTGCCGAGTTCACTCTTGAGATGACGAGGGCGGATTGAAGAAGCTGTGCCACACAGAAAAGATACGACTACGGGAGATAAGAGCTTCAGACAAGCAGCTGAGACTGAAAGCCTGTATGGGACATCAAACAGGCATGTATGCCCGACGAAGCCGGCAGCCACTCCGTGGAAAGTCCACTGGGATCGTGGTCCTCGATGTCCGGCTGCTAATGCTGCTTTCCTGCCTGGTCTCTTCTAGTTCGATTCCCACCAGTGCAAGGAAGCTGCT